TTCTCCATTTGTGGGCTTGCATGTGATGACCATCCGGATTCTGCTTGCTGCGTTCATCCGCCTTGAACGGGGGCCCTCCGCCCCTCACAACCGTCCTTTGATTTTCCCACCCCTCTGCACAGTGGTAGGCGTCGCATTTCCCAAAAAACATACCGCTAACTAACATTATCTTCCCCCGACTCTTCCCATCAAATGGTTCTTCTCAACCGGCAACGCCTGTTGGATCGGCTGGCCAAAGCGAGGAGATCACAGTGGTGAGACTTCCAACCCCGCCCAACCCCTGTCACGTATATCAGTGGGCCGCGAACGCGCGCCCATGGAACTCGACAGCCATGGCTGGGAACAGTCCCCCGTGCCTCGAGCGCCCGTTGGAGTTTCTGCCCAATCTCCACTTGCCCCTGCCATCCCCTTGCAACATCCCGAGGGTGGTGCTCCCACTCTTATATGTGGGCGCACTTGGACGATTGTGCCTCCACGGTGGCATCCCGCCACACCACCTCCAAGCACACAAGCTGACCACCTGAGCCGTTTGGGGCCTCGTCGTCTCCCAACGACACAACAAGGTCCATCCTCGATGCCGCCCGCTGGCCAATGCCCTTCCTCCTCCGGCCCCTGCAGCTGCTCCTCGCTCATCCTTGCCAGCAGCTGACATCGAGCACATGCAAGTCCTTCGCATGTGCTTCGTGGTGCGCCGGGCTGGGCCCAATATCTTGCCTGCGGTCTGAGCTCAGTCGCCACCCACAATGCGCACATAGCCTGGACTGAACTCCCCAAGCTCCTTTTTTCTGCTTGACCCAGCCTCTCTGCCCGTCGGGCGCAGACGACAACTTTCAACACTAGCTGATGTCGTCGGTGGCTCGCGGGTGAACGGTACGATCTGTGGCCCTCAACCCTGCGGGCCCGCTGCAGCACCGAGACCTCTCCAAAGCACCTAAAAGGGAGACAGTCACGTGTTTGTTCTGCTTTTGTGGCGCTCCCACTCCTTGCGGGAAAAGCCTGTATGGCTGATGTCCTTTGCAGGTCCGGGTCTCCGTCCCATTCGCGGCCGAAGCTGCCATTTGCCAATGGTACTAATTTTTCTTCAACTCCATTGATCTTCTGGGTATGTTGCGAATGATCCAACTCCGGTTTCCTGGCCTGGCTCCTTGAGCTGAATGGTCTTATGGTGGGCCGTCACGCGTTCTCTTCCAAAGTGAAGCCGGGCCTTCATACCCGAACCTGTGTCCAGACATCAATGATATTTGCCTGGCCAAATCCTGGCGCAAAATTGCTTCTGTCCTCCAATGCGTCCACACGACAGCCCGCCAGACAGGCCTGTGACTCAACTCTCACAAGTGCATCCCGACCTTCTTCGTGTAATTTATTTCCATCCAGCTCAGCGGCTCATCGACACAGCAGCGGCTCCTCCACCAGATCGCCCAGCTGCCTGAATCAGAACCTGGCTTTTGACTTCTCTGGTTTTGGTTCTTGGTGCAAAGTTCAACTTTTTCATTCGCGTAATTACCCGCCTCGATGACTTAAGCCTTGGCCAACTTCGACAATGAGACGGTTGTTGCGAGACGGCTGGCTGCTAAGCGCCCTTGTCGTTTTTTTCTTATGATCTCATTTAGCCCGAGAAGCCCTGCCGCATATGCAATCTCCCTAAATACCTTTGCAACTCTATGGACCCATGTAGGATGAATCCAGCGAGACGGCTGGCTGCTAAGCGCCCTTGTCGTTTTTTTCTTATGATCTCATTTAGCCCGAGAAGCCCTGCCGCATATGCAATCTCCCTAAATACCTTTGCAACTCTATGGACCCATGTAGGATGAATCCAGCCAAAATTTTCCGAAACCTAGGCGGTGGGATGCTCTGGATGCTGTGGTCCATTGTGAATCTTTCTGACCAATTTGTTTGTGGGGGTGCTTAAACTTGCATTGTCGAGGTAATGGCGAATGTAAATTTAATCTTGTCGAAGTTTGACAAGCAGAAAATAATTGTTTGTTAATTATCACTACCAGTAGTACCGCACAAGGCAGTGGCGGAAGTTTCAAAAATAGAAAACCTATAGGAGAAGTTGGTTGTTGCGAACCAGGGACGGCAGAGCGAAGCCACTGGTTGACCGAAAGGTGAGGTGGTTGGAGTAGTGTTTGCTGGAATGGTTGCAATGGTTGCAGTGGTCACCTCACCCACAACTGCTCGATATATTGTGGTGTACTGCAACTGTAGTTGTGGTTGTAGCGTAGTGGAGTTGTAGTTGTGGTGTAATGTTATTAGGATGTCTACCACAAGTTTTACGGAGACAACCAGAAGATGATCGCAATCGGAGTGAGCAACCCTCGTCGAGTGGAAGATGTCCAGCCCCATACAAGAAAAAGTGTTCCAAGTGGCAAGCGCAAGCGCGGTGTCACCAAGTAAAGTGCGGCGCCGCACATCATGTGTGAGAAGCTGCTGCACGCTTGCTGCGCAACGCTGGGAAAATGTTGGGAGGGACGGAATCACACAACGCGCAGGCACAGTCAAGTTAAGTTTGATGTATATACTCGAATTTGAGATGGCGGTCGGCAAATAATGATCATACATGACATGCAAAAACTTCTGGTGCGGATGTTCTTGTGTTCCAACGTTCGGTTGAAGCCCATCATCTATGCGTAAACTGAGCCCCGAGCATGATGGGTCAAGAAACTTGGAGTTGTTTCCATAGCAGGTGCTGGGGAAGTACCTCTGAAACAGAAAGAAGGTGCTGAATAAGTACCAGTGCTGAAGAAGAATGAGCAAAACAAGTGGTACTTGTGCAGCACCACATTTCCTATGCATGTGGTACTTGTGCAGCACCACATTTCCTATGCATGTATGTATGTATGCACGTATGATCATGTATGTAATGTATGTATGATCATGTATTCATGTATGTATGTATGTATGTATGCATGCATGTATGTATGTATGTATGTATAAAGAAAAAAATCATGGAGATCGTACTGATGCAGCACCACCATGGTATGTTTTCAGCACCCAATGGTCCTAAAAGAAACCGCTCATGCTCCCCAACCCAATTGGTCCTGCCTCCATGACGAGTAAGGCCACGACCTCCTGAACAGCGATGCTGATCGTTGATGGCAGGCCAGGGTTACATGAGAAACCCTTGAAAACATGTAGTTTTGAAGTGCAGCTGAACTTGATTTGAAGCAATCATCTTTGAAGCACCCTTGTATTGCTAGTGCCACTTTCTCAGCACCACGGTGGTACTTGTTCAAACGAAACGGTATTGTTTCACATTATGTGCAACATGGCACATTAAAATTAAGCACGAATCTGGTTCAGTAATGTTGTGGCGCTGAAGAAGTGCCACATTGTGAAGAACACTGCAAAAAATGAGGTCCCTGTACGTACTTGCGCAGCACCGTATAAGGTATATCTTATTATTTTAGGTCATCTGTAGGTGTATGGATGGATCCAGGTACTTACTCAGCACTGGAGGTAAAAGCTGGTACTTACACAGCACCAACACTCACACTTGGACACTCAGCGCGCCACCTCTTCAACAGTGATTGGCCCCATCAATGCCTGGGCTGGCGCTGGAGAAGCACCACCATGCCAGATTGTTGCATCAAGGTGCTGCAAAAGTACCATTGACTCAACATAGCTGTGCCCGTTTGGCCCCCTGCCTTTGGAGGACTCTGATCCTGAAGAAGAACAATCAGCTTGGCCTAGGGCGAGATGGACTTTTTTGCAACGCCCTGCCCCCCCCCTCCTTTTTGAGACTCTGACACGTCTTCAAAATGAACTTCTCTCAGCTATCTCTGACTAGATCCAAAATGCTACATGGATCCTGATAAAACTCTTTGAGTGGTGGGGTCCCTATTATATCAAGTAACTTTCGCAGCGCCATCTATGTTCCTATATCTCAAGTAACTCTTGCAGGGCCATCTCAAGATATGGATCCTGACATAATTTTTCAGAACTTGTGCTGGGCCATTCTCAAGATAAGGATCCTGGTACAACTCTCTCAGTGAAGAGGTATCCCATTTTTTTGCAGGGCCATCTGAAGATATGGATCCTCGCATAACTCTCTCAGTGAAGAGCTATCTCAATTTTTGCTGGGCCATTCTCAAGTTAAGGATCCTGGTACAACTCTCTGAGTGAAGAGATGTCCCATTTTTTTTGCAGGGCAGGGCCATCTTGTGGTGTCCATGGATGATGGTACTGATACTTTTTCAGTGTGAAAAAATTAACAAAACATATCAACCCCCCCCTGTCCCCCCCCCAAAAAAAAACAACGTGCTTTTCGTAAACAAATCAGCCAGAGGGCCTATGCAAAGCTAACATTTCAAAAATGAGGGCCTGCATGGATGCTGGTACTTCTTCAGCACCAACAGGGTTCATGGTACTTGTGCAGCACCAACAGCTACCTAAAACTCAGGGACTACATGGATGAGGAAGGGGCTACATGGATGCTGGTACTTTTTCAGCACCAGCAATGTTCATGGTACTTGTTCAGCACCAACAAACACAATGTTCACATGTTCAGCAATGTTTTTTGCGGGTGTTGAACATATATAGATAGAACAATACCCATACATATCCATGTTCAGCAACAACAATGTTCAACTTCCGGGCTACCTGGATGGTGGTACATGTTCACAGCCCTGCTTAAAATTTTAAACCGGGGAAATTGATTTAGGATATAATTTTTCTTTGCATTTTTCAAAATGAAGATCAATACAAATACCTTTTGACAGTTTAGGTGGAGATAAAACATAAAAGTATCAAGACATCTTTTCTTTTACAGCAAAAAAATCTGCTGCACTGGCCAAGACCCCTAAGCCAAAATATCAATATTAAAAAGAAATGATCAATGCAAACCTGATGCATTAGTAGCAAAGCACTGCTCGAAAGTCTCTCTGGATCACTTGTGGAGATAAAGCATGAAAGCTGAGCACCAGCAAGTTAACACTTTACTCTTTTGCTCCCAGCTGAGCACCAGCAAGACAATGAATGGAGCTGCGCATATCCGCAGAATGGCCCTGGAGGAGTTCAACAATGGCATGGAAGAAGGTGGAGAATTTGAGATGGAAGAGATCGAAGTTGAAGTCGATCCTGGAGCTGAAGCTGGTGGTGATCGTGCAGTACCACTAGGTGATGGAGCTTATGATTTCGACTTCGACGTGGATAGCATTTCAATTCATGGTGAAGGACCTTCAGGTGAATGCAAGATGGAGCAAGAACAGGAAGAGGAAGAGAGCGACGATGACATGGAGACGGACTATGGCTCAGTTGGCATGGTGGACGAGGACTTCAGTGTCTTTGAGAACCTCGAGCCGACTGAGTATGACGACTACAGGTTCATCGTGCTCAGTGAAAGTCGCGGTGTGGAGCACTACATCGTGCGCAAGCTGTCCTACCTCGTCCTACCGCAGGAGTTGGCCGGTCACCAGGGAGATTTGGATCGCGATACAGGAGCTCTTTGCAATGCACAAGGCAGTTCAACTTGGAGGAGTTGAAGAGCGCAAGAAGGTGATCCGTTTCCTACTTGCAAGGAAGAGATACCAATTTTGGTATGAAGCTGGTCGCATTCAACCTGGTGAATCCTTGGAGGAGTCGGACATGCCAGATGAATGGTTAGCAGCCCATTATGGATGGGGAGAACCAGTTGGAGGGCAGCCATATGAAAGTGATGATGAAGGTTCATGGAGCCCGAGTGCAACAGGAAGCGTGGCCATCATCGAGGACACGGACATCGGAGCTTCGAGCAGCGCACATGCACCAGCGCTGCCACCACCACCTGTCGTCACAGAAGAACCTGGATCAACAACTGATACACCAGGAGTGACTGCAGAGCCAAAGGCCAAATCGAAAGGAAAATGCGGTGGAAAAGGTACAACAGTGCTTTGGTCAAAGGACCCACCGGTAGAGGACGATGCAGACGGGCATGTGTGAAAGTTTGTTCAAGGTCTAGGCAAAATAGCCTGGAAACCTTTCACAAAAGGCAGGGTGACAAACATGACCCGTCGCCGCATTGCCTATATATACAGCAATTCACTCATTTGACTATTCATGCAGGCTTTTGATTGCCCAAGCAAAACAAGGGCGCGTGCCGCGCTTTGCTACCAAACAGATTCTTTGTGAACTTATCAACTTACACAGTTGTTTCCGGTTTTGGTTTGATCAAAGTCTAAGGCCCCAGTAGATGTTTGGACATTGGAGTCACCAAGGAATCCGGTGGATAGTCATGGCGCAGGCTACAGTAGAGGTAGGCCTAATGTAGTGGACTCATGACTATCCTGATGTGATGAAGTGGCACTATCCTATAGGTCATCATCGCAACGAGTGGCGCAACGGCACAACAACTCCAAGCTTGGTGGCCCATCTACACCAGTAACATCTAACGGCGCATGCTCCTTGCAGTGGAATCAGAGGGGGGCCAACAAATGATTGGCATAGGATTGGCGAATAGAAATCCAGCAAAGGAAGCACTGAGGACCTTTGGCAGAACCATTTGAAGCGCTGGAATTGGGGATCATTTTTCAATAGGGTTGACCCACACACATTTAATGTTTGAAACCACCAGTGAAGCGCGTTGTCTTCATTCATGTTCTGCTGTTGAAGCTGCCTTTTCCGTCCGATATTCTTTTCAAGCCTCAGTTGCGAATGCAATTGAAACCATGCAGCTGCAAGAGCGAGGAGTTCAGAACTGTATCAGAACAGAATATATGGTTTTTGTCACTGGATTCAAGAAGTCGAAGGAGAACTCAAGGACTCCTAATGATCTAATGCTCCTATTTGGCCCTATTTGTTGATTTGCTCATGGTATATCCCTTATGTATGCTTATACGCATGAATCCCAAAGAAAAGGCACATCCGTTTTTCTACGTCCCTGCAGGGCGAAATCTCGGACGCGCCGTGTTCCGCAGCCGCAGCTGAGTGCCATGGCGAAGGCGAAGCTGGCAAAGCTGGCGAAGCTGGACGCTGCTCATCACCTCAAAGAGGACCGCACCAAAAATGATTTGGGTAAATTTCCGATAAAGACTGGCAGCGGCACTCCTTATTACCGGTACGACACATGATGCTTGACATTGGGGTTATCATTCGCTGCTTAGGTTATTTCAGATGTGTGAAAACAATGAAGGGATTGTTCATGAAATGTTTGCGGGAATTGTTTGTATATTTGGAAAAGCATCTCAAGCCTGAAATTGGAGATGTACAGTAATTTTTAGTGGTGATTTAATCATGGATTGGTTTGGGGGTGTTGTAAAAATGGGGGATGCCCCAAGTTCTTGCCATTTTGGGACAACTTTGTCACGAAAGCTAGCTTCTGCTAGCTGAAGTCCCTCTTGCTTTAGCAAGTATGGGGGGAGCTGGAATCTCACATCGCATGAAACTCCCACCTTATTTCTCTTGTTCTTTGGGTCCTATGGCCGGAAGATCCCATGTGCACAATGTTGGTGGAAGGTCGGCTCCGTGGGTTTGTTGTTAAAAAAACTCATGTCGCCGGCAGCAAAAACGGCACAAACTTTTGTCCCTTACCCCTGGGCCTCAAGTTCTTTAACCATGAGATGGAATAGGGTTCCCTATTTTCAGACAAACTTGTCCTGTTCTACCATGAACGGGGACGGGTTGAAGGAGCCAAAAATCACTTTTTCGAAAGGTATACAATAAAAGGACGTCTCAAGCAGAACCACCAAAGTTGCGGATGAATTTTAAATCCCCACTTCACATCATCTCAAGCTCACATAGTCCGCACTTCACACCTTCTCAACTCTGCATAATCCCAACTTTCACACCATCCCAACTTCACAGCATCTCGTCTTCATGTCATCTAAACTTCACAGCATCTCAACTTCATGTCATCTAAACTTCACAGCATCTCAACTTCATGTCATCTCAACTTCACAGCATCTCAACTTCATGTCATCTAAACTTCACAGCATCTCAACTTCATGTCATCTAACCTTCACAGCATCTCAACTTCATGTCATCTAAACTTCACAGCATCTCAAGTCTCATGTAATCTAAACTTCACAGCATCTCAACTTCATGTCATCTAAACTTCACAGCATCTCAACTTCATGTCATCTAAACTTCACAGCATCTCAACTTCATGTCATCTAAACTTCACAGCATCTCAACTTCATGTCATCTAAACTTCACAGCATCTCAACTTCATGTCATCTCAACTTCACAGCATCTCAACTTCATGTCATCTAAACTTCACAGCATCTCAACTTCATGTCATCTAACTTCACAGCATCTCAACTTCATGTCATCTAAACTTCACAGCATCTCAACTTCATGTAATCTAAACTTCACAGCATCTCAACTTCATGTCATCTAAACTTCACAGCATCTCAACTTCATGTCATCTAAACTTCACAGCATCTCAACTTCATGTCATCTAAACTTCACAGCATCTCAACTTCATGTCATCTAAACTTCACAGCATCTCAACTTCATGTCATCTAAACTTCACAGCATCTCAACTTCATGTCATCTAAACTTCACAGCATCTCAACTTCATGTCATCTCAACTTCACAGCATCTCAACTTCATGTCATCTAAACTTCACAGCATCTCAACTTCATGTCATCTAAACTTCACAGCATCTCAACTTCATGTCATCTAAACTTCACAGCATCTCAACTTCATGTCATCTAAACTTCACAGCATCTCAACTTCATGTCATCTAAACTTCACAGCATCTCAACTTCATGTCATCTCAACTTCACAGCATCTCAACTTCATGTCATCTAAAACTTCACAGCATCTCAACTTCATGTCATCTAAACTTCACAGCATCTCAACTTCATGTCATCTCAATTCACAGCATCTCAACTTCATGTCATCTAAACTTCACAGCATCTCAACTTCATGTCATCTAAAACTTCACAGTGCCAATCTTCATGTCTCAACTTCATGTCAACACAGGCATCTAAACTTCACAGCATCTCAACTTGTCATCTCAACTTCACAGCATCTCAACTTCATGTCATCTCAAGCATCTCACTTCATGTCATCTCAACTTCACAGCATCTCATGTCATGTCTAAACTTCACAGCATCTCGCATCTCAACTTCATGTCATCTCAACTTCACAGCATCTCAACTTCATGTCATCTAAACTTCACAGCATCTCAACTTCATGTAATCTAAACTTCACAGCATCTCAACTTCATGTCATCTAAACTTCACAGCATCCCAACTCCACAGCATCTCAACTTCACAAACTTCACAGCATCTCAACTTCATGTCATCTCAACTTCACAGCATCTCGTCTTCATGTCATGTCAACTTCACAGCATCTCAACTTCATGTAATCTAAATTTCACAGCATCTCAACTTCATGTCATCTAAACTTCAAAGCATCCCAACTCCACAGCATCTCAACTTCACAGCATCTCAACTTCATGTCATCTCAACTTCACAGCATCCCAACTCCACAGCATCTCAACTTCATGTAATCTAAACTTCACAGCATCTCAACTTTATGTCATGTCAACTTCACAGCATCTCAACTTCATGTAATCTAAACTTCACAGCATCTCAACTTCATGTCATCTAAACTTCACAGCATCCCAACTCCACAGCATCTCAACTTCATGTAATCTAAACTTCACAGCATCTCAACTTCATGTCATCTCAACTTCACAGCATCTCGTCTTCATGTCATGTCAACTTCACAGCATCTCAACTTCATGTAATCTAAATTCACAGCATCTCAACTTCATGTCATCTAAACTTCAAAGCATCCCAACTCCACAGCATCTCAACTTCACAGCATCTCAACTTCATGTCATCTCAACTTCACAGCATCCCAACTCCACAGCATCTCAACTTCACAGCATCTCAACTTCAGTCATTCAAACTTCACAGCATCTCAACTTCATGTCATCTAAACTTCACAGCATCCCAATCTCACAGCATCTCAACTTCATGTAATCTAAACTTCACAGCATCTCAACTTCATGTCATCTCAACTTCACAGCATCTCGTCTTCATGTCATGTCAACTTCACAGCATCTCAACTTCATGTAATCTAAACTTCACAGCATCTCAACTTCATGTCATCTAAACTTCAAAGCATCCCAACTCCACAGCATCTCAACTTCACAGCATCTCAACTTCATGTCATCTCAACTTCACAGCATCCCAACTCCACAGCATCTCAACTTCATGTAATCTAAACTTCACAGCATCTCAACTTCATGTCATGTCAACTTCACAGCATCTCAACTTCATGTAATCAACTTCACAGCATCTCAACTTCATGTCATCTAAACTTCACAGCATCCCACTCCACAGCATCTCAACTTCATGTAATCTAAACTTCACAGCATCTCAACTTCATGTCATCTCAACTTCACGGCATCTCAACTTCATGTCATGTCAACTTCACAGCATCTCGTCCTCATGTCATGTCAACTTCACAGCATCTCAACTTCATGTCATCTAAACTTCACAGCATCTCAACTTCATGTCATCTAAACTTCACAGCATCTCAACTTCATGTCATCTAAACTTCACAGCATCCCAACTTCATGTCATCTAAACTTCACAGCATCTCAATCTCACACACCCTCGATATCACGGCGTTTTATGTTTTCTTGCAACTCATGCAGTGAGTCTTTGCGCGGTGAAAATGCTGCATCAAGGTGCGGCGGGCGCATTTTCATGGTCGATTTGCTGCTCGCAGTGGCTTAACCATTGCGTCAAGGTGATTTCGATCAGTGTTGTTTTTTTTAACTCTCGTGCTTTAGATTGCTTCAGTGTTTTGCAAGTCATGGCTCTTTTTCGCTCAGTTTAACTGCCGCGTCCAGGTGACTCAGGTTGAAGTTTGCACTCTCGTGCTTTGTTTTTTTGCCATCTCTTGGTGACTTTGCATTATGGAATTGCTGCGTTGAAGGGGCCTTGAGTGTATGCGTGTTCCGTCGTGCTACTTTGGGC